GAAGTCAACTGCCGATTAATAGACTTTTTTGCCGTATGAGTATACGTTGCCCAGGGTGGACCACGTGGAGGTATTATATATGAATAATTTGGTTTTCACTCTGACCTTCTATTTTCTGCCAAACAAAATCCAATATTTTACTAGGATTATAGTAGTAAGCAGTTTAGTAATTTAAGCCTCGCTTTAACAATTTGTTTCAACGGATAACCAAAATGTGATCACTATTGCGAGTATATTGCCAAGCATGTACTTGTGGCGAATAATCCAGCTCTAAACTCATAAGCACCAATTCAAATCTCACTGCTCGCTTTCTAAAACAGTCAAGATATACACAATTATTTCTTCTCATCATTTCATTCTATTGGTACTAGCCTTGATAAAGTCGAAAATTGGAAGTTCATAGATGAATAATTAATGACACAACATCGGTTATAAAGTAAATCCATTGAATTTTTAAAATCAAACGTCGTATTTAAAATTTTAGAATATAGTCAAAGTAATTCTAATTTAAGAATATATGCATGAAAAGTTTGGGATTACTTTGTGACCTTGATAATTTGTTTTAAGCGGTAAAAGAGGCAAAGATTTTTTGCGTAAGATCGTTTTATCTATTTTCTTTAGTTTGCACGGACAAATATTTAGTGGCGCACTTGGAGATTAGAAACGCATATATGAATTCAGAGTAATCATTTAATTTTTTCGTATCTAACAAAATAAAGAAGCATAGCTTCATATTTAATGTGCCCTGATAGACTTGAGGAATGTTTATAACGTATAGGAAATGTGTGGTAAAAATTTAAAAATTCATCTCCTATGATGTATTACCAAAAGCACCTTTAGTTAAAAATCTTCCTAGTTAGTATAGAATGCTAACTAAGTCGTTGTCTTTCCAACTTCCTGTGTACATTTTGTTCGAAGTTAGGTTCCATGACAGTCATCCTACCAAGCATTACGTTGAGGGAGATTTTATAAAACAGCACAGATGTTTAAGGATAATCCACACATAGTGAAACTTGAAGTTTGGCGCTGAAATTATTGGGTTAAACTAGGCTCCAATGATAATATGATCTCAGCATTGGTATGAAACACATTTAACCTAAATATCTACGCAGTGTAGTGCCTGTTTAAGCTAGGATAGCAGCGAAAGAGGCTGCAGATTAAGACATGGAATGGAAGCTCATAGCTAAATTGAGGGAAAGAAGTGGGGGCACCCGATATTTCTTAAATATATCTTTCATATTAACACGTCTCTTCTTTTCGCTTCACTTTCTGTGACTTTTCGATACTAAGAAGTTATCCGCATGAAATGAGTGCTTTTGATGAAGCACATAAATGAACAATCGCATTACTGTGAATTGAAATGACGTGAACGATCAAGAGTTCAGCCACAACTATTTTATCTCCATAATGATTTAATTGGTGGTCCATAGAAGTGATTGAGGTTTTTAAAATAAAACAATAATTCGAATGCAACCAAATTAAGTGACCTTTTAATCTTCGTACGTCGATCCTAGTTTTCACTTGGTTCGATGCACGACTATTAATGTTTGTCGAATTCGAATGCCTTCCCACACTGAGAAATCACGAAACGTTTATATAGGACTAAAATTTATAGTAATAGACACCTGGCACAAAGACCACACAGATTTTCCAATTTATAAAAGTTAAAAATCCCACGAAAGTAAACCAAGTAATTAAATAATTGTCCTGTTAGTTTTACTCATGTAGGTTGGAGAATCGAATTTTGCGCCGACTTTATAGATAATATCAAGGTATTTTTCCGCATCTTCTATTGGATATCTATATGTTATTTCAACCACATTAGAGAATCCGTGATGAATAAACATAGTTGCTTTTCTATCGATAGTCAAAGTGAAATCTTGTTCATAAATGTGTGCTTCTGGTAAAATCCTAAATATAATTGAAAATAATTGACCTTTCATATAAACTCACTCTCGAAGAACGCCTTTTACTTTAACAATTAAATCGCGAACAGCCTCAGTAGAAATAAAAAAACACACTATTTCTTGTTGTGCTAATGATCTAGGCTCCACCATCCCGAATGCATCAATTTTTCGACTTTAGAATCCGAAATTGATTAATATTCTTGATTAAGTTCGATTAAATTGAGTTTAAGTATTGGAATTTGAGTTAGTGAGCAGTGTTACGCATAAGGTATGCTATTTTAAGTTCATTCTTCTAATGTAAAACTATTACAAAGAACAAGGATCGGCTTTAGTTGCATATTGTACAGTTACATCCCATCACCTTAGAAGATTTTAAAGATTTAGTGAAATAGTTAATTGAACTAACTGTCGCGGTTTCGGCACTGATAAATTTATCGAGAATAGGTTCCTTGAGCTTCCACAATTGTAAATAATTATAGCTGAAGCAGGATTATCGTACTGGCCTAACTTAGCGTACATAATTCGATTGAATGTAAATAAATTTCACATGAAAATTCAAAGGGTTCAAACTTGCCAAGTTATCCATTTGCATTAAAATGAGCAAGTGCCAGCACATGGTGCGCGTGGGTTAAAAAATTAGGCTATACGTATTCGAATGATCTGTAACGTGCGATCATGATGTTAATCTCGTTGAGGAGCAAATGGATTCGCGAGTGCAGAGACCGCTCGATCAAACAATGATCAATAGTCATTACAATTTTATCATACTCAAGCAGTTTTTAATAATAAAGACCCATGTCAACAGGGGGCACATATAACCAACTAGGACATCTTGTCGTGGAGACTAGTAAGGTAAGTGAAAGCTTATTCGTGTAGCAATAGACCAACTGCGTTCATACATCCCGGGTCATTTTCTTCCTGAATCCAACCGGATGAGAATTTCATGCATTTTAGTGATGTTTCAATGACGTTATAGAAATCTATATAGAATTTTTATGATGCAGAATCCCATAAATGCAATAGTTACTGGAGGCACTAACAAAAATAAATTTGAAAGTCAAAAACTTTCGAAATGACAGCCATGTTATTGCTTAAGCTTTTCTGCCTTAGAGTGAATTCGTAATAGTGTTTAGCCATTCATTTTCTTCCCTACAATTTAATTTAAAACTTTCGGACTTTTACACATTTGAAATATTTTGTAATTGTTTCTTTAATATTCAGTCACGTACCTTCTGTAAATTTTCAAGTAAAAGGGTTTATTTTCCACTGTAGCTGCGAAAGTTTGGAGAGGTGAAGTCATATATTCGAAGCCATACTATTAGAAAAGTATCCGGAAAAGTATATATACGAATAGTTGTTTAAAGGATATTGCTTTTTTAAGCTAGCATCTTTAGACGCAAAGTTGAATATTTATTTTGGCAAGGAAATATCTTTAACGCATAATAATTTTACGGAGACTAACTTCCACCCAAATTAAGGAAGATGTTGATAAAATATTAACTTACATTCAAAGCACGTATAGATCTGATAACGTTGAATATGGGAAACATTGCAGTATTCTATAAACAATTGTGAAAACGATATACATGTCTTAAGTATTTCAGAGATAGATTGATGGAGTGAATTTTGGTTAGCGGGATTTAGAACCAGTATAAAAGTAATAAAAAAATTTGAAAGAAATATTTTAATAAAATCATTAATGATTCCTGAAAATATGTAACTGAAACAATTGGAGATCCTGTTTTAACTATTGGCTTTATATACCCATCGTTAACATATTTTTAAATTAGGGTCAAGGTAACGCTCATTAATCGACCCATTCGTTCATATTCGCGTAAATTTATGTTCGGATGATCTTATATCTACTCTGTCGCATTCTGACGTAACAGCAAAATACAAATATTTTTACTTTTAGAACTGTTTTTGGTGTCCTTTATCCTGCATATAAATCTTATAAAGCCCTTCGATATAAAGATGTAAAGGAATTAGTTCGACTGACTATGTATTGGATTGTCTTTTCTTGCTTTATGGCTTTCGAAACTTTTGGAGATATTTTACTGACTTGGTTGGTCTCTCATTTTTGCTAACTTTCCAGGTTCCCTCTGTATTATGAAATCAAAACTGTATTTGTACTCTACCTCGTATTACCATTCACACAAGGATCCAGCATAATATACAGAAAAATTGTGCATCCTCAACTTAGCAACAAGGAGAAGGTAAGTGGACCACAAATACATAGCTTTTTTCCTAGGATATCGATCAGTACATTGAACGGGCAGCAGAATCCAGCTGCTCTGCACTCATGCACTTTGGTGCTAAAGGATTAACTTATGTTGCAAATACGGCTATAACAACGGCAATGAAGGTAATTTGTGCTGTTTATTAGCTAAAATTATCATCATGTTAATTTAAAACTCTGCTAATATAAATAGGTTGTCATTCTAATTTCATGCTTTACTTTTCTTTCTATGTTCCCTACAGAGTCAAGATCTTATCATCAACCATCTTGCTCAGAGGAGTTTAAGTTTGGATGACATCCGTCCACTTGCTCGTCAAAAATCGGGTGGTAACACTACGGATGCATATCAGTCCTGTAAGTTGAGGAATGGTATTCTGTTGATTTGAGTTCAATACGTAATGCCACTAAAAGCATTTATTGCTTAACCTAGCTAAACAGTATCAAGCTAGTCGAACGAATCGAACTCGTTATGAAAATGCAGGTAAGCTGATACTCTTGATGCATTACTTTGTGTTAGGCCATTATTATTTGCTTTGTTTGATATATATTTATCTTGAATATAAATTAGCTCGTATTCTAAATTTCTAGTGGCTTATTAGCATTCGTGAGCTTTAATTGATGTAGGCCCTTTCATTTTATCTCGCGCACTTCAAGCGGTTTTTCTAGTGTTAGGTCGCTTTCTTTTCCCATTTATTTGTAGTAAAGTGATTTAACCGAAAAGTGTTTACTTTTCTTTACTCTTTTTTTGCAACATTTTCTATCAATTAAGCGAATTGCTCTTCATTCTTTTAACTTATTGAAAACACATGTTGCAAGTTCTAAGATTCTCGTGTTCCGTACCGTGATGGCATGGTATGTGTGTTCCTCCATTTTCACCTGTAAAGAAGCACATGAAATATTCACTTTTAGAATGATATTTTTTACATGTGCAGCTAATCAAACAATGACCCACGTTTTCGATTTATAACTTAGTCTTAAAATATAAGATAAAGCAAGGACAGATTTTTTCATGTTAGATTTATGGCGGCTTTATTCCTTATCTGTTATTTGCTTGATTTGTTTATCGATTTTCGGCACTTCTTCACATGTCCAGCCTGTATTCTTTTCATTGGCCTGTTTTCTAACATTGTTGTCTTTTTCACCTTTCTCCGTTCTCTAAATGAAATATTCTAACACCGGATATAAGCAACCCTTCTTGGGCTAGCTGAGATTATGTAATAAAGAGCGACTATAAATTAAACGGTTTTCTCTGTCTCAAAGTGGTCTAAACTTCCCAGTCTGATGTGCAATCAGCTTTCTGTTAATGGATTTTTCCTTACATCATCGAGATTTCTTACCGAACTTTTGTCCAAACTGTAGGCAAATTATATGATATTGTGGTGTATTTTTCGAGTGCTATTAAATCTGGGCTATTTGGATGTAATAATGTCTTTTTAAGCTAACTTTATCCAGGGAAGTATACTTGATTTTCATTTTAATGAAGTGCTTCTACTTATTTTAAAGATTTGAAAACAGTGATCTACATAATTTTGGAGTACTTTTGCATACAGTTTAAATTTGGAAAATCTTGTCTATATCATACTCAAGTACTTTTTAATGTATTAGCCTTTGTTCTTGGTTTGGATCAAACATTTTCGGTTTATTTTTCTAATTGCTGTTTAGTTAGATACTTTCGTAACCTCTTCGTGTGGTATTCAATTTGATAAATTACAATCTCCTTGCAAGCTATTTAGTTTAGCAAATAAAATGGTTTTCAAAGTTCAAGTTATTCGCTTACTTGAAAATCACTCCATGAATTAATTTATGCTTTATAGTAAACTTATTATTAAGAATCTGTATCAAAGTTATCTACAAAAATCTTATGAACAATACAATTTCACATAGTATAACTGTCTTGGTGTTACAGTTTTTGTTAATCGGTAATTGAAAAGCTGTTTATCACGAGTTGCTCAATTTAGTCTTCTTTCCAATTGGCTATTTAACTTATCCAATAGGACATCAGACTTAGATATTAACACCTATGTGGGCAATGTATACGTCATTTGTATGCCTTCAGCTCACTTCATATTAGCAGTATTGGAGCTTTCCCTAATGGAGTTTATCTTAAAAACCCTCGAAGTGACCTTTCTTAGAGTTTGCTAACTTTCTACGATGACAGGAGGTTACACGTGGGCAATCAATTTCTTCAATTTTGGTGCGACACGTATACCTAACACCTGACGTTTAGTTAAGTGCTTTACAAGTTTAACAGGTTGATGTGTAATACCCATTGCCATCAAATTCTGAAGAGAGGTTTGTCTAACGCAAATACTCCTTTTCCCATTTCCGCGAATTTCACTGTCAAGAGCTAAGTATGGGACAGAGGAAGTAGGTGAAAGTTATCTTGATTTACCAAAGGTAATAATTCAATCTTACTCTTCAATTAGGAATAGTGCGCAACAGAGCGAATTTCACTAAACAAGTTATGACTAATAGGGCAAATCAGTAAACAGCTTGCTGATCGTCAATGAGTCTAGGGGGGGGGGGGGGGTTGGAGTAGATGGATGAATTAAATTGGATCACGACTACTGTACTCTTATATATTAATTCATTTAAGTTTTTCATTTTTTGTTATTTGTTCATTGTGATATTTTCTTTCAAATCTGCGTTTTCTCATTTATTTCCACTTCCTGGCGCAAGTTGTTCTAGTGAAATTGAAGGATGAATTAATACGTGTTTACAAAATTTTATTTAGTCATAATTGATCTTCAGTGTATAAGCATTTTGCAGTTTTTAACCCTGCTGTTGCCTCAAAACGGCTACTGATCACATATCATTGTTGGGAGTGCTTAGTGTATCTGCGATTTCGGTGTGTCTTTAAGTGATTGATTTCTTCTAATTAGAGGAATTTTCCACCTAAGTGGTCTTTGAGTTATTGTTGCTAGCTTTCATTTTCCTCAATCGGTTCCATTACTATATGCTGCTTATCTATGCAACTACGTAAAGCTCTATCTACAAACTTTCCATCAGAATTCTGGTTGCCTTCTTGTACGGTTCTCTCTCCTAACACGCTTTTCCTTTCTATATCATTCTCGCGTCTCTTCACGTATTTGGGTTGCTTTTTCAAAAGTGATTTTGCTCTACACTCCACTTGGTACATTCTATTCGAATTTTTCGGCTATTATTTGATAACTATTACTGCTATCGGTTCCTGTTACCTCAATCAGTTTTACTCTTTAGTTTGAGAGAGGTATTCCCAGTCTGTTTGATTAATCTTGTCATTTTATAAATACCTAAAAGCTTTGTAAAGTGATGAAAACTGTATCTATAATTTTTCATTTTCGAGAATGTCTGATTCACTCGATCGTTCTCATATCTCAAACCACAGAAAGTTGTTACAAACTCCATTGACTTGAGATGTAGCGTCCTCGCTATTCTAAAATTAAGTAACTGCGATATTTGTAGTTCAAAACACAGTCATACACAACCGTTTTCTAGCCTCCATTGAATATTCACATAATTTTGATCCTTTTTGTATTTCCTGATTTCCATTTTTTAAGTCAAACTCAGTCGATCATATCGAGCTTTCTATGATATCCATGTTTATCTTCTTTTTTCTGGTCTATTATGAATTGATATAAACCTTCAAATGGCAGCAGTCGTGGAAGATTTTAAATTCCTCAAATTGGAGCTTGTTTTGGAGAATACATTTGTCAGTCTTATGGTGACTTATATTCGAGTAGTTGGCCATTAAATGTAACTCTAAGTTGTAAAGCTGCCTTTTGTTTCTGATTCTTAATTCCCCCCCCCCCCCCTAAAGATAAGCTACTTGGTTGGCCTTTGGCATCATCTTACTTAGAAATAACATGAATATCCAGTGCCCATTCCTCAATGCACTTAATCAATTTTAAATTTCGCAATATGAAGTAGTGGTTCACCAATTGATTGCGTCGTGTCAACTGCGAATTTTAAAATAAAATTGGGGGAGGGGGTGGGGAGGGAGACTTTGATGCTTCAATTGTATAATTCCAGTTTCTATTCTATTGTTTTGCCTTTTCTCAATCTTCAACTTCTTCCCGTGTTCAGGTATCTTTCCTCAATGGAATTTTGTATATATATATATATATATATATATATATATTCAAAACATGAATCTACGTTTTTTTTGTCTAAAAGTCATTTCCTCCTTTTGCAGTCCTCTTTGTTCATTTTAGCGCCCTTGGATAACGTAAAGGAGT